CATGATGATGTCACCAAAATGCAAATGAGCATGACACCTTTTTCAGGCTTTAGCTATGTGCAGAACACTGGAGTTTCACTAGTAACTAAAGGCAGATACAATATGTAAATACAGAAGAAACACGACATCTCACACTTCACTGCTCTTTAGACTACAGCTGTGTGACCTCTGACCTTTACCATGTGGCACAGCCATCTCTGTGCAGCATAGAGGATCAGGGGCCGACCTGCAGGCTGAAATAAGAGAAGGAGAACTACTGCTGCAGATTTCCAAGAGACAGAGCTCTGTCCTCGCAGTGAGGACTGATCGTAGAAGCAGCAACGTCAGTGAAGACAGGTCTCAACAAACTCACTCAACTGTGGCAGAGTGTTGTGTCAGAGAAAAACTCAAAGAGAAGCTGCAGTAGTTTCATCCAGTTAAAATGTCAAAAACGCCACAGAGACTCAAATCCACAACAAAAAACCACAAAGATTCTTTCAGCTTCTCAACCACAAACATGCAGCTTTTACATCTATATATTAATACCCACTGTTTATTACTCTATGCATGTACTGTATGACCAGGTACTAACAAATTCTAGTGCAGCTGTCTGTTAATGTAAGTGTCAGAAACTGGTAAAAATTACAACACAGTAGAACAGAGTCAAATAAAAGACTCTGGTAAACAAGCTGTCCTGGGGTCTGTTTACATCTGCATTACAATGTGTTATTATCCAGCTGGTAGATCTGTCTATACGGTTCTGGTCATCCTGGATAAGCAGCTGGATACTGGTGGTTGGACTAAAGAAGACACCTGGAGATGTTTTTCACTTTTTCTTGACATGAGACAGATTATTAATCAGCTATCAAGAACAAGGACTCAACACTGAAATTAATCTTTACTGAGGGGCTTGTGGTCACCAGCTTACTGACAAAAAACATAAGGCAAAACACTGTAAACTAAAAATCTTTTAATCAGATGATCAGTTGATTGAAGAATAAGGATTTATGAAGCTGGCAAAAAGGATGAATAGGTAACAGCCCCGTCTCTGAGGACAATGCAATGCTGGACCTAATAGAGTGTGTGTGACCTGTGTAAAGTGATCTGAAATACCAGACGTCCTGGTTTCAGATCTGCTTTCTATTAATAGAATCTGATTCCTGCGATGCATCAACAGTTGCTTCCAGACCAAACACCAGAAAACTATTGTTCTCTCTTCAGTCACATAACTTTCACATAAACATGAAGTCCGCAAGTTACATGTGCAGGTGTTTGTGTGTGTGACTTCTGACCTTCGTTGGTGAGTACGATGAACTTGGACGGCTTGATGACCTTCCCGTCCAGTGTCCAGGTGACGGTGATGTCTGCAGGATCAGAGGTGGTGGCAGCAAGGCGGCACTGCAGCCGGAGCCTCTGCCCTTCTAGCACCGTCACATCATTCAGTTTCTCCACAAACTCCAGCACCTTCCCTCCTCCTCCTCCTCCTCCATTGCTCTTCTTCTCATGAATCCCCCCATCCACACAGTTGTTCACCACCATCTTCCCGCCCTCCCCGTTCTTTTCTGGGCTCGCTGGCTTCTTCTTGTTGGTGAGGACAGAGCGGAAGTCAGCAGCGTTTTTCCCGGGCATCTCAGCTGGCTTGTTGTTATTACTGTTGGCTGCGCCCTTCTTCCCTAGAACAGCACGGAAGTCGACCGGCTGCGAGGAGTTCACCTTGCGCTCCTCCTCCGTCTTGGGTTTGACACTCTTAAGACTGGCTTTAAAATCCATCTGTTGGTGGTGATGGCAGGGCCGGCCTCGCTTGGCTCCTCTCCCCAGTTGCTGTTAAAAGCTTGGCGTCCCAGCAGCGAGCCAAAGTCCAGCTGCTGCGCCTTCCTGCGTCGCAGCTCCTCTTTGCTGCGCTCCCTGGTTTACACACAGTGTCTGAGGAGACCTCGGGGAGCGGTGGCAGAGGGAGAGTCTTGGTTGCCCTCCTTCTTCTTGTCCTCCTCCTGGTGCAGGTATCACAGGTTCTGCTCCTGGTCGGCCTCCTGCCACTGCTGACTGATACCACCACTGCTGCTGCACCTCTGCTCCACGCCTCCTCCTTTGGCACCTCTTCTCAGCACAATGATCCCAACTACTCCTCCTGCTATAGGCCTGGATGACCGAGCATAGGCACAGAAGGAGGAAAAGAGAAGGAGAGAATAAACAGCTGGGTTAAAATCCCCCTGGAGTGAGAGGACAGGCAACACCCCCTTACAGCTCAGAGGGAGGGGGCACGCAATGGGGAGAGAGAGAGGGGAGGTGGGAGGAAAAGGACCTCTACTCCAAATGTCCATGTTACATCACAGGTGACTCAAAGGGCCTTATAAGGGCATGCACCCAGCGCTGCACTCAGATGTAAACAGCGCTGAAACTGGACTCAGAGCACCCATTTCTCCTTCCTCTGGGCTCACTGGAGTCCCAGTCAGCCCAGTTACTTCATAGGACTCTGCTCATTCCT